TACTGCCTGCTTAGCCACCTACAGGTCTCACTGGGACAGTGTGGAACCACACTGGTCATAATCCCAGGCCATGGGTAAGGAGGCCGCATGTGAGTGGCCACCTTCATCGCTGCAGTTACCACAGCAACCTGCTGAGGGCTCTTTTAAATCAGGTCCCATAAAGCTGGAGGCAAAATCTGCAATGACAACCATGGAGACCAGGGACTCCCAGACACTGATGAAGACTCTGGAACAAAAGGTCGGGGGTACAGCCTGCCATCCAGGGTCCCGGGAAGGTAAGTCTGGAGGGCAAGGAGCTTACTTGAAGTGCACAAAACCAAGCCTGAATACACAGGTCTATGAGTGATGACGGGGGACCTGCGTGCAGTGTGGAACAGCGCTGCTTGGGTAGGCTGCAAAGCTCAGCCCTGGGGACTTACTGTACCTTCCTTAGCAGAGCAGCGTAACCTCGTCATTGCAATCTAGCCTTTGTGCAGAACTGCAGAGTGTCTACCGCCCTCCACAGGCAGGCTATTGATCACTTCTCCCTACAACCTAAGGTCAACCTTCTGTTGATGCTCTCCTTTCCCTGTGACTCCTGCCCTTGTGCCAACCTTCACCATCTCTCAGTGGACTCTAACTGTGGGCCTCTCTGTTCCAACTGGCTTCCTCTTAATCCACTCTCTATACTGCAGCATGAGTCATCTCTCTTACAATGAAAGTACCCCCCCTTTCCTCTTCGGACTTCCTTCAATAGCTCCCCTCGTGCTTAGGATAAAATCCATGGCATTAGCACTGTTCATCAGGCCCACGTGCTATGGCTTCTACCTGCCTCTCTGGTTCCATTTCTTCCCACGACTCATGCTGAACTACATTCTGGCAAGGCATAAACTGTGTGATTTCCCTCTTTATGTCCTGGGTTAGCTGACCTCTGTTCCTGTAATGCCATATGCTGATTCCTTAACCTTTAAGATCAGGTCATTTCTGAGAAAGTTTTCCCAGTCACACTCACACACACACACACACACACACACACATGATATCCTCTCACCTACCATCTCACTAGGTTGTCAGCTTTACAGGAAGGTCTGTTACATGGTCATCTCAATGTTCTGCCACCTCACATTGTAGCTGGTATCTAGTAGATATTCAAGAAATGATGACTGAAGCATTATTTCGACAAGCCTGCATGTTAGACTAAGGAAACTACTGCTCAGAGGGCTGGGAGGATTTGTCCAGATCACAAACTAATAAACAGAAGAAATGAGATCTCATCCAGGTCTTCGTGTTTCCCCAAACACTTCAGACTACTTCACACGCTCTTCAAAGGGACCACAGATTATTCTGTGAGCTGGAAAAATTCATTATCTCTTCAGAGAATTATTAGTTGGGTTTTCTTTTTACTTCTTTGAGTCTCAGAGCCTTGTAAGAATCTAAGGAAAGCGATGGACTTTTTTCACAGAAAAATGCATGCATGCATACATACCCACACTTTTAAAAAAATTTATTTGACAGGTAGAGTTATAGACAGTGAGAGAGAGAGAGACAGACAGAGAGAGACAGAGACAGAGAGAAAGCTCTTCCTTCCATTGGTTCACTCCCCAAATGGCCTCCACGGTTGGTGCTGCACCGATCTGAAGCCAGGAGCCAGGTGCTTCTTCCTGGTCTCCCATGTGGGTGTAGGGGCCCAATCACTTGGGCCATCCTCCACTGCCCTCCTGGGCCACAGCAGAGAGCTGGACTGGAAGAGGAGCAACCAAGACTAGAACCCAGTGCCCATATGGGATGCCGGCGCCACAGGTGGAGGATTAATCAAGAGAGCCATGGCACCAGCCCCTGACACCCACATTTTGTATGCAATATTAAACTATATTAGTCAGGGCAGGGGATCTGTCACTGCAGTAACACAATAAACCATAAGCATCAGTGACATAAAACAATGAAAGTTTGATTCTCATGCACGTTAAGTCATCAGGGGCTCTCTGCCATCCAATGATTTGAGTATAGAAGCTCCTTCCACCATAAGACACTGTCACCTCAACACATACTGCCAAATTACCAGGACAGAAGAACAAAGAAACAGAGATGGCACACGTGCTCTTAACTATTTCTTCATGAAAATGACACTTCTCTGTGCACATATTCCTCCACCTGAGACCACCAGGGTAGTGATATGGTTGGAATCCAAGGAGATCTGTTGGAGCCTCAAACCAAAGAACCCTGGGAGTAAGGGAAAGTCCACTCATGAGCAGGTAATACTAGTGCACAACCTAAATAATGGGGCTAGTTGTGTGGTGTAGTGGGTTAAGCCTCAACCTGTGACACCGGCATCCTCTACAGGCGCTGGTTCGTGTCCAAGCTGCTCCACTTCCAATCCAGCTCCCTGCTAATGGCCTGGGAAAGGCAGCAGCAGATGGCTCAAGTGTTTGGGTCACAGCCACCCATGTGGGAGACCCTGAGAAAGCTCTTGGCTCCTAGTTTCAGCCTGGCTGAGCCCTGGCTGTTTCAGCCATCTGAGGAATGAATCAGCAGAGGAAGATCTCTCTCTCTCTCTCTCTCTCTCTCTGTGTGTGTGTGTGTGTGTGTCTCCCCCTCTCTCTATAACTCTGACTTTCAAATAAATAAATAAATCTTTTCAAAAAACCTAATAATGAGTGTTATTTCAGCAGTGGTACCTATTCTCTGCAGTGGCAACAGCACAGTAGAAAGATCTGGAGGTGAGCAAGCACATGATTCATTTTATCACCACCCACTCTAAGGCTTTCAGGCGCTTCCTCAACGACATCAGATCTAGAGGGTCCAAGGGGAGCCTTATCTTGTAAAGATTTGGCTTCTCTTAAATGCGGGCAGACATGAGAGAGGACATGGATCTTGAAGCACAATTTTCTGCTTGTTTACAAATGATTAACTACTGCAATCAATTGTGTCAAAGTTCAGGTCAACTGCACCCTCTGGGACCATGGTGAGATGGTGCTTTGCGCTTTGGCTAATGATACTGGAGTGCACACAGGAGGGGCTGCCGGGAGAGCTGGGCTCTGTGTTTTGGTCACAAGGAAGGTGGGGGGTTTACTGTCCTCTGTGGTGTCCCTTTGTCCCTTTGCTACTGCTCTTGCTTATTTTCATTTCCAGCCCCAGGCCAGCTCCTCGGGCAGGCACAGCAGTGTGAGGAGTCCGCTAGCTCTTAAGAGGACTCCAAGTGTGTCAGGAAGGAAGTATAGGGCTTTTGTATTTCTCCATTCAAATTTTAAAACAATCTTACCAAGTGGCTGTTAATGACTTGTTAGCCCCATTTTCTAGATCACAAAGCAAAGTCTTGGAGAAATCATGTAACTTGATGACAGAAATCAGATCCAGCCTACGTGCTTTCTATTGACCCACCTTCACACGCTCCTTCTGGGGATGCTCGTGGTTGCCAGCATCAGCAACAGGAACAGGACTGTTGCCTGCCATGGGGATTCAGCCCTTTAAATGTTGCAGTTTGGCTTTGTAAATGATAGGTCAGTGCAGTTTGGACTTCAACTTGTTGATACGGAAGAATCGGGGTGGATTTACGGGAGGACACATTTCAGCACCTCAGTCATTTGGATGTTGCCTCTGAGTCTGCACAGTGCTCTTGGCCCACACTCCTGCAGGCAGTAGTACACCATCTCCAGGTGGGGTCAGGGTTGACTGTATGTTGAAGCTAGCAGCGACCTGTGAGAAGGCCTTGCCCACATCTGGTCTCGGCAATCCACGAAGCATTTCTAGACGTTCCGTGTAAATACTTGCTTGTCTTATGCCACTCAAGAGTACTTTAGTGTGGTATTTTCTTTTAATCTAATTTAATGGTGAAGCATGGTAGGGTAATCTTGAACTATCCAGAGTAATAAAAAGGTGAAGATGGTAGCCCTCTTCCAGGCTCAAATAAAACAATTGTGAGGCACTGGACCTGAGTGATGACTGCCTTGCCTCCAGAACAAGAGGAAAGAGAGTGAGTGTCCTTTGACCTTGAATGTGGCAGAAGTAATAGGTGAAGGGCAAAGGCATGTACTGAGCCCTTTTCAGGTACAACTAACGCTGTGACTCTTCAGCAAATATTAGAGATAAACGTTGAATCTACTTACAGCAAGCGTGGACTGAACTTCATTTCCCCACAAGGTGAAGGAGGCTCTCTTACGATAACAACAACATGCATTTGGATAATTTTTGATGCCTCCATGCATAGCACTTTCACAGTTAGTGACTCATCAGACTCCTCCAACTCTGGCTGGTAGATAGGCACAGTCCTCCCACTTTTACATATCAGGAAAACAGAAGTGTAGTCAATAAAAATATCAGCTGAACTGAAGAGAGCACACAGTGTGTGCTAGGCTATGCTCCAAGAGTTGTGAGTATTTATGTTTATTGAATTGTTATAACAGCACAATGAGGTGGATACAGTTCTTATCCCTGTTTTATAGACGAGAAAACTAAGGCCCAAAGGAGGGTTAGTAACTCACTGTGGGTCACACAGCCAGAGAATCCCACAGAAGGGATTCGAACGTGGGTGGGTGGGCTCCAGAGCCCTGTAGGCTGCTGCTTTCTTGCTCACAATCAAGCTTCCAAATTGTTAGAAAGTGGCCAAACTGGAATCTAAACCTTGACCCACCTGACTCCAAACTTTGCACCCTACTGAGTAAGACAAGCTCACATGTGAGAGTGCTCAACATGGGCCTGCTCAAAGCAGGTTTCTTACATGAACTTCTTTAATCCTCGCCATATTGCATGTAAGGAAACTGAGGCACGGAAGTGAAGTCACTGCCCCTGGTCCCGATGCCTGTAAGTACTGAGTCCAGGTGGCCTGGACCTGGCGTCCACAGCTTGAATCACCCCTCTACTAGCCTCAGCTTGTGTCACCTCTCTGCTGGAGTGTCTCCTCGGCACCGACTGGGAGGGATGTCGGTTCTCAGTGTGAGAAAACCAAGCTGCTGCCCTTGCCCAGCCTTCTCATGGCTTTCCAGAGTCACAGGTAAGTTTTCCGTGTGTGCAAAGTCTACAGAGTCTCCAATCACTGGTGGTGTTCAGTTTACTTTGCTGAGCTGTTTGCTCTATGGGGACAGAAGCTGGCGGTGGCCCTCATGGTGCAGGCTGTTCATAGAATTTGGAGCTGCTTCTGGGTCTTTTGCCACTTAGAGAATGAAGAAGTCCTGGACGTGGACTTGGAGGGTGCCGGCAGAGCTGCTGCTTCTCTGTGCCGCCCTGGGCTGTCTCTGTGTGCCTGGCTCCAGGTAAGCGGTGGTTACAAAGAATTCCCTGATTATTCCTGCAACAGGGACTAGAAAGCGGTATAATGCTGGCCGTCTCTTTGTGTCTTGTCTATTGGATAAGGAACACCTCTTGGAGCAATTTGCACGTGTCTGATAAAATCATATTAACAACTCCCTTCAAATGACTGTGGAACCTTGTGGCTGACTTTTACAAAATCTCCTCTAGGCAACTGACATGTTTCAATGTATTTTGTCACTCGGAGACTAGGACGCTTATTCTGTATTCGGACCGAAGCCTCAGGGTGATTCTTTATGCAAAAGAAGGTTTGTGAGGGACGAAAAAGAAGAGAGCCAATTCATATAAATGATTATAATGTACGAGAGTGACACATTCCACCTGCTCAACAACCCCAAATCTGTGGGTTCTCTCTCTCTCCTTCCTACACACACATACACACACACACATTCCAGATGTTCCCAGAAATTGATTTATTTCATAGTTTTTTGGTTCCTATCTATAGGACACACAACAGGCTAAAGAAACTACCTTTGCGGAAGCTCAGACTTGGGTTCCAGGCAGAGAAGTGCCGGTAGCTCGGCAATTTGAGACTCTCTCGGTGTGTGAGAAGCCCCTACGTGAAACACTGGAGCACACAGGCATCCCCCGCCTCCTTGTGAGCTCTCCCACGGGAAGAAGGGCTGCGCACACAGTTCCTTTCACTTCATCTGAAAGAGCAGTCTGAGCACAGCCTTGCGCTCAGTGTGAGGAGCCCCAGCACTCATCCGTCACACACCGTGTGGTCTCAGCTCTGCTGACTGCTCAGGGCCCATTAGGCGCCACCACTGAGCCAGGACCATGAGCGTTCACTAGCCATCAGCCACTCAATAAATAAGAGCTACTAGGGTTATCAAGGATCTCAACTTGACCCAGAGAAGAAGCTGCCAAGGCCTTCTACACGTACACTCTGTGTACCCAGAGAAGCATTCAGGACCTAAGGAACTGCATCTGAGACGGAGGGTATGAGAGAACTGTAGCAACCCCATCTATGCCACTGTAGCCCCATGAAAGCCCCTTATTGGGCTCCAACAGATGAACCAAACACGAAGATCCCCTGCTCTTGTGGAGAATGTCAACCGGTGAGCAGGTGCTAGGCGAACTGCTGCAAGAGATGGCACAGGGACTCACAGAAAACCGGAGAGGGGGCATCAGCTTTCCTGAGCCTGGGGTCTGGAAAGGCTTCTGAGTAAGATGTAGCTCAGGCTGACTCTTTACAGAAGAGGATGTTTTCCGGATGCCTAAGGGGGTGAGGGGTGTGCCAGGCAGAGGGAAGAGCACAAAGGCTTGGAAGTGTGACGGGAAGCCTGGCTCCTTGCTGAAGCCTTCTGTGTGGTTCAGGAGCCTTGAGCACAGCCCCCAGGTGGGCAGCTACTAGGATAAGGTAGGGTGGGGCTCAGATCAAGGGCAGAGGAGGGGGTGCAGGAGTGCCAGCTAAGCAGCTTGCACTGTCTCCTCTTGGAAGGGTGGGGGACTCTTTTTCTGCCAAGGGCCATTCAGCTACTTATAACATCATCCACAGGCCATGCAAAAATTATCCACTTAAAAATGAGTCTGCAATAGGTGTATTAATTCTGAGTCTTGCCTGCGGTTGTCTTGGCAGGGCCGGACCAAATGGTTTCACAGGGCTTACCCAGCCCACAGGCCAAATATTCCCAACTCCTGCTCCAGGCAACGGGTGAAGCACTAGAGGGTTTGAAGCCAGGGAATGACATGGAGAGGACTGTAGATTAGGAAGTTCACTCTGAGGTAGGGAGTAGGTGGGCAGAGTACAGAATGGAAACTTTTCATTAATCCTCCCAGCAATGCCACACGGTGAGTGTCACATCTTTCCCTCACTACGTAGAAGAACAAGCAGATGCTCCGAAAGAAGAGAATCACTCATGATTGGTGCATGTCCAGGCTCTACCTGAATCCAGGCTTAGTGTTCGCATTGATGCCCACAATTTTCCCAGCATGGTTCTGGACATGGTGTGTATTTGAATCCCTCTCATGAGGTCGGAGTCTTCAGACCCAGAACAGAAAATGCTTGAGAGCACCTTCTTCATATTTGTCAAGAAAGATGCTCACTCCAGCTTAGTCTTGTAATCATCAATGCAGATGGAACGATCATCACATTGTCATAAGACCTTTTGATAATCGCTGATTGCCGGGTACTCAGACATAATATTCACTCTCATCATTTGTTTTTCCATGTAGTTGCTATTGTTTATAACTTTACAGACAGGGAAGCTGAGAGATAATGCAAATGCCCCAAGGCTCACCACTTAACACATGGCAGAATATGGATTTGCATTCGATTTTTAACAAAGGGGCAGGGAGTCCCCCCCCCCAAGCCCCTGTATTCCCTTTGCACCTGTCTGCCTCTCACTATTGCATTAAATCCTGTCCATTTACATGGCGTAGTGACCTGTGGAACTCCCGAGCCATTTCTCTATCTCTGGGTCACACCTTTGTTGCCTGGAGATGTTGGTTTAAATTTCATGTCTGCAAAAGCAAATGACAGGGAGAAGAGAAATTGGAAACCTGGCCCCCAGAAGTTGTCTCTTCTAGCGAAGAGGAAGGATGCTATTTGCAGAGGGGCTGCAGGTGCCTAACAAATTGCAGGTGACAAGAAAGTTGTTGTGTCAGGGCATTTCTAGAAGGAAGCCACGATATGTTGACGCAACCCATCCATATAAGCTGATGGCATACAATTTACTGCTGACCTAATCTTACTGTATGTGATGGATACATCTTTATTTTGATCAGAAATGTCTATTAGCAAGCAACTGGGAGACCTGGGCCCAGGGATATTTGTCACAATGCTGGCAATAGCATTCCCTTGCACCCCAAGGAAGGGCACATCCTTGCCAGTCCTGAACTCAGGCGAGCAACTGCCCTTGGACTTGCACAAGGCTGTTGATTGTACCATTGTTTGCAATTATACAACACTGGGAAAATATAAATCTCCCTCAAAAAGAAAAAGCATAAATTCAATGCAATATATGCCCTTGTCTAGCACTAAGAAATGCACTTGATCTGTGTATACATCAACATGGACAGGTCTCAGGAATGCAATGCTGATTGACAAAATCAAGTTGCAGGATGAAATGTGCAGTGTTAGTAAACACACAAAAGTAATGCTATATATAGCGTACATACGTGGGGATATTTAAAAGAGGCTGAAAAGGAAAAGGTGTTTGAGATGCCACTGGGGATGCCCATATCCCAGATTGGAATGTCTTGTGTTCCTGGCTCTGCTTCCTATACAGCTTCCTGCTACTGGGCACTCCAGAAGGCGTTAGATTATGCCTCAATTACTTGGGTCGCTGGCACCCATATGGGAGATCTGGGTCAAGTTATGGGCTCCTGGCTTTGGCCGGGACATTTGGGGAGTTAACCAAAGAATGAGATCTCTTGCTCTTCCTCCTACCAGCCCCCCCCCCCAACCTTTATAATTCATTCATTAATTAAAAGAGACTGGAAGAACACACATCACATTCATGACAATATTTCCCTCTGAAGAGGAGAGGAGGAATTGGAACTGGAGCAGTATAAAACTCAGACGTCAAATTCACCTGGATTTTTTAATTAAGAAAAAGACAAGACTAAGGCAAATTTGCCAAAATGTCAACAATTGTCAGTTTGGGTGCACCATGTCAATATATGGGTATTTGTGTTTTTTAGTCTTTGTACTTCTCTGGTGTTTTTATTTTTTATTTTTTATTTTTTTTTACTTTTTCAGAGCAAAACCACACAGAGGGTTGTGAATGAGTAGCCTAGTCGGTTGGTCCAAACAGCCAGTGGCTTGTTTCTGTAGACATTCACAGTGCTGAGCTGCATGTCTTGTCACAGGTGCAGGAGCCTTGATGGAGCTTGTTCTTCAGGTGGCTCTGTGCTATCCCCAGGAATGAAAGACAGGAGTTCATGATAGCCTGTGTTTGACATTTGCAGTGCTAATTAACCACACGCAGCTCATCCAAGGCGATTTACAAACACACTATTTATTCAGCTGATTACATCATTATAGTGCCACCTCCGTAATGAGAATTGGGTGCAAAAATGAGAGATCTGGTGGTTATAGCTACTTTTTACCCAGTTATTTCTGTAAGTGATCATCTTGAACATTAGCACGCTTTCAAATTGCGGAGAGGAAAATAACTGTGGCTCTTAATAGCTAGTGTGTATATTATGGCCTCGGCTGTGGCCCAGAGTTGGGTTGAGAGTTGCTAAAAACACAATGTAATAGTTTTGTAGTTGAAATAGGAAGGGGGTACTCTGCAGAGCTGTCAAATACATACTTAGGAGAAGCCAAATCACAGACAATATTGTTTTGTCAAAGTTGGCCAAATTAGGAGATGAGACCACATTCCAAAGCCCCCCACTGGGGTGTGGTATCCTGCCTCAAGGAACTCTTTTCAAGTATCCACCTGTGGTTTCCAGTAGAGTCTTTGACCTTTCGTTAAAGATCCAACTTTACGAGGCCATTGATTTTTGCTGGTCTCTGGGGCAGTCATGGAGATGGATTTCACTGCAGTTAATAGTATTCCCTTTTCAGGACTTTTGCCAAGCGAGGATGTATTGTTAATGACCTTGTCTAGAGTGACATCCTGTGTGTTTGAGGTGGTGAAAAGTATGTGATACTCTTCCTAATGACTCAATCTTGAGTACAGGGATGGGAGAGGCCTTAGACAGAGACCAGAGGGAGTGGAGTTGATACTGGCCTGGTTCCTTCACAGGCAATACAGAGCAATCAACAAAGCACACGTTCTCAGGGTCAGACAGCTGCTCAGACCCCAGCACCACTGCAGACCAACTGCATGACAATGGGCGTGTTTCTGGGCCACTTCCCGTCTCCCCAGGGGACAAGGCTCTGTGGGCACTTCTGGCACTGCTCTGAGTGTTGATAGAGGTAGCAGTAGCCCAGCAGTGGACATGTGCACCCTAGGGGCTCTGCCAATCTTCATTCCTTTAATTCTCTTCCTCCTCCTCCTTCTCCTCTTCCTCCTCTTCTTCCTTTTCTCTTCCTACCCATCTCCTCCTCCTCCTCCTTCTTCTTTCTCTCTCTCTCTGACTTGAAAAGTTACAAACAGTATGAAGACTTTTACCCTGTAATACATTTCCTTCAGATGAAATAAAAAATAAGAACCATCTTACACCCATCATGTTACAGACAGGAAAGCTGGAGGCTGGAGAAGCTGAAATTAGATGCTCTTTCATTCACTGGTATGGCACTGTGTGCCAACGAACTCAACAGAAAGTCTTGCCTTATCTTCTAGACATATGTCAGGTCATGTGTGGCTGGACTCCTTTGCAGAGGGGACACCACCTGCTGTCTGTCCTCCCACCACCCCAAGGCCCTATCCCTAGCCCCACTCAGCCCTGTCTCCATGCCCTGGACTGGTGCAGCATCATCTCTTCCGGCCTGCACGTGATGTTGATGTTGTCCTGAGGTGTATCCTTGCCCGCTTCTCCTCTCCAGAACTGTCTTTTCATTGTCCACAGCTCGTCATGGTCAGAGCTGTATCTTAGGCACAGACCTCTCTTCCTGAGTTCCACATCCACGTAGGAACTATTTAAGCTAGATACACGGGTGCTCCATGGACTGCTGAAACTCAGCATGCCTTAGCTGAAACTTACATCTTTCTCAACAAGCTTTCTATTTCCTGCTGCATTTCCTACTCGCTCTTGCACTCATACTGGAAACCGGCACCAGCCCAAACTCCTCCCTCTCCCTAATACCCTCGTCCCATCTAGCTACCCATTGCTTTCTATCCTGTGCCACCTGAGAAATTCTTCAAGCCCTGTCTGTCCTCTGCCTTCTCTCTGCCCGGTCACTGGCTCAGTGGAGGCTCACATGGGTACTCCTGCACTAGCCTCCTACATGCACCCCTGCTGCCTGCACATCTTCCTCCCTGCTGCCTGACTCTCCCTGCCCTGCACATCTTCTCAGCACAGCCTGTGCCCTGGGGTCTCCATGCTTAAAACCTTGCTACTGGGTAAAGTCCCAGGGAGCTCAGACGTGAGACATATTTAGAAGGAGAGGCAGAGAGAGAGAGAGAGAGAGAGAGAGAGAGAGAGAGAAAGAGATCTTCATTCTGCTGGTTCACTCCCCAATTGGCTGCAACTGCTGGAGCTGCGCTGAGCTGAAACCAGGAGCCAGGAGCTTCTTCTGGGTCTCCCACATGGGTGCAGTGTCCCAAGGACTTGGGCCACCTTCTACTGCTTTCCCAGGCCATAGCAGAGAGCTGGATCAGAAGTGGAGCAGCCGGGACTCTACTGGAGCCCATATGGGATGCCGGCACTGCAGGCGGCAGCTTTACCTGTTACACCACAGCGGCAGCCCCGCCTTTTCATATTCTAAGGCAACCAGTGAGTTCCAGAAGGCAGACTTCACATCTTCTATCTCTCTGTTTCCTCTGTAGCACAGTATCTAGTGTATCATTTGTTCTCAATGAATGTTCCATGGGCTCCAAACACAAAAGTCTACCTTGAAGACTATCTAGCCAGAACCTCTCATTTTCCAGGGGATAAAACAAACAGAGGCCCAGAGATGGAGAGTAAACTGCTTAGGGTCAGACATCTGCTTCTGGTGGTATTTGCGGTTTTATAGCATGTTAAAATTTATAATTTTTATCCTGGATGCTATCATTTTCAATCCTGGAAATTGCTTATCAATGACTATCTTCATTCTATCAGTGGGAACGATGAAGTGCACATTCTTCATTAACACACCACACCAAGCCCACCTAGCTGAGCTCTCTTTAGTTTGAAGTTCAATATGTATTTTTGATCTCAGCTAGTGCCAATGTCAGGCCCTTACTGTGTATTCATTCCATAAATATTTGTTGGATAAATTAACCTATAGATAGATAAATTAACCTATAGATAGATAAGTGAGCAGGTATATATTTATTGAATGGATGGAGAGGTTGGAAGCATACTTAACTCTCTTCTGATTCTGAACTCTGTTTTCTCATGATGACTCTTTAGAAGTGAAAGGCCACGTTCCCTTGAGTCAACTGTGGTCAACAGGAGCCTTGCTAAGAGCAGACATAGCCGGAGTGTGGATGCCACCCCGATGCCCATTGATTGTGAACTGTCCAGCTGGTCCTCGTGGACCATGTGTGACCCTTGCCAGAAGAAAAGGGTGAGTATCCTGGCTGTGAGAGCACTGAGATACCAGGAGCCCCCTTGATCCCAGCAAGGCTGACTGAGGCATCGCTGCCCATGGCTGGCACACAGTAGGCCTGCAGTTCTAGGGGGCTGATTTCATTTATGAGTCCTTCCCTCTGTCTTGCAAGCCACTTTCAGACCCTTTCTGAGGTCCTTCAGGATTTTCCAGGCACACCTGTCCTTGCTCACTCTAGTAGCTCCCTAACCAGACTTCTTGTTTCTAATCCTATTCTTTCAGTCCATCTTTCCTGGTGCACCTGGGGCAGATACTGCAAATAGAAGTCTAACCTGTGTTTCCCCAGTTGAAACCATGCAGTCTACCTATGGCCTTAGAATCAAGTCCACGCTCCTGGGCAAGGTCCTCCCAAGACCCAGTCTGACCTACATCTACACAAAGTACCCCTCCCCCAGCATGCTGGACACTTGCCTTTTCTAACCATTTCACTCTCTGTGTGCTTTTGTTCTGGCTGCTTTCCCTCTTCCTTCCCTGGCCAACACCTACTCATGTTGTGAAACTCTGCTCACAGGCCACCTCTTCTGGGAAGACTTCATTGATTTCTCCTCAGCCCCACCCATCAGATAAGCCAAATTTTTACAAGCTTCAATAGCTCCCTCTGACCCCCATATCCTAGAACTTATCACATATCACTTTCACTAAACAGTGAACTTATGAAGGCCTACCAATTCTGTGTCTTCAGTGTGTAGGCCAACTTCTGGCATATAATAGGTGACTCATAAATAGTTTAATCCCATTTTATTTGGTTGGTATTCTCTCTTTAGACTGAGAGGTAAATAGCGATCCAGAGCAGGTAAGTGACTTCTAGGGCAGCCCTGAACTCTGGCCACTGGTTCCCTATTGAGTATTCAGTGAGGAAAAACACAGTCTCCATGTGTGTCCTTCAGCCTCCCTGGTCTCAGCGGGGCAGACCCAAGATCCCAGCTCCGAGAACAACAGATGTGTTAGAAAAAAAGGGAATGGTTGCTTCCCCAGCTCCTTGGGAAACCCAAGCAGTCATGGGCTAAGACTCTAAAGAGGCTGTGGAGGTAGGCCCAGGACAATTACACAGTTAATTGGATCAATGGAGAGAGCCAAGCAGGATCATTCAATTCCCAAAGTAGGTTTTATTGCTGAAGTTATCAACATTGATCCAATTATCTGGATAATTGCTTCATCTGCACCATAAACCAGAAAGACTCAGCATGTGTCCGCCAGCCAGGCGCTCAGCCAGGGCTCCTCACTCTGAGTTTGCTGCAGGCTCCCTGGGCTGGACATCAGCCTTGCCTGGAGGAGCAGAGGATGGGGCTCAACAAAACCTCTCAGCCCACGTTGAGATGCAGTTCTGAGAAATACAGGAGATGGATTCCCTCCGTTCTACACTCCTCAACCCCACTTTGCCTTGGGACCCAGGCTGGCCTGTTCCCAGTCTTCTCTATAGGCTTTTTTCCTCTTATCCCTGGCCTGGCAACTCTGTCCTCTGGGGAGAATGAGCCTCTGGAAGTGCAAGAAAGCAGGCCTGAATGGTTATATATATTTCTTTTTTTTTAATGAATTTGCTGTCACTTTATTTTTATTTATTTATTTTTTGACAGGCACAGTGGACAGTGAGAGAGAGAGACAGAGAGAAAGGTCTTCCATTACTGTTGGTTCACCCTCCAATGGCCACTGCAGCCAGCACGCTGTGGCTGGCGCACCGCGCTGATCCAAAGCCAGGAGCCAGGTGCTTCTCCTGGTCTCCCGTGGGGTGCAGGGCCCAAGCACATGGGCCATCCTCCACTGCACTCCCTGGCCACAGCAGAGAGCTGGCCTGGAAGAGGGGCAACTGGGACAGAATCCGGTGCCCCGACCAGGACTAAAACCCGGTGTGCCGGCGCAGCAGGCAGAGGATTAACCTATTGAGCCGCAGCACCGGCCTATATTTCTTTTTCTTAAAAAAATTATGTATTTATTTATTTGAGGGGGAAAAGCATCAGAGAGAAAAGGGGAGCTTGGAGAGAGAGAGAGAAAGAGAGAGAGAGAGAGAGAGAGGTTTTCCAACTGCTGGTTGGACACAATAGCCAGGGTTGGGCCAAGTTGAAGCAAGGAACCAGAAACTCCATGTTGGTCTCCCACATACATGGGTGTTAGGGACCGAAGCACTTGGACCATTATCCACTGCGTTCCCAGGCACAGTAGGAGGGAGCTGGATTGGAAGCCGAGCAGCTGAAATTCAAACTGGCATGTAAATATGAAAAGTGGGCACCATAGATTGTGGCTTAACTTGCTGCACTGCAACGCCTGTCCCTGTATTTCCTTTGTTGGAAAAAGCACAGAGGTCATACAAATAATAGGCAAGTCTTGTCAGTATGTCACCCTGCAAAAGGGCTGCTCCTTCAGTTTGATCCCCTTTCATGCATCAAAATCTTGATTGCAACTGACATTTGGAAAACACCCAAATCTGATCTTCCCTTGGCAGTTTTTCACTGCCCCAGGATAAAATACCAAAGCCTCCTGTTAAGCCTAGAGGCCCGCGTCATCTGCTCCTGCCTAATCTCCCTCTGGTTCTCATTGCTCTCCTTCTTGCACTCTTCCCACCAGCCATGATGACTTCTCATCTGTGTTCTGAAATGAGGTACACACCCTCTTAGTCTCTCAGCTTTCTTCCAGTGATTTTCTCCACCCGCATTGCTCTTGTCTTTGGTGTCTGCAGCAAACACAGGATAGCCACAACTTGGAACTCAATCCAGGTATCCCACATGGGTGGTAGGGATCCTACCACTTCACTGGCACTTACTGCCTTCCAACGTATGCAATAGCAGGCAGCCGGAGTCCAACAGTGGACCTGGGACTCAAATCAATGCACTCCGACGTGGGCTGATAGACCAAACATCTACTCCTGCTTGATTATTTTAATCACACATGACTTCTGGCCTGCCTCAAGGAGGAAATGGACAGTGGTGAGGACCAGGAAGTGATGACACACTGTGATTGGGCCATGCCAATGGAATAGCAGAATACTCAGTAATCTCACAGCAGAATTCTCATGCAAACTCAGGAGATGATGGAGGACTTCTGGAAGAAGTATAGATGCTGGGTAGATGTGGGGAGTTGTGCTGAGGTGGCGTGTGGCAGGTAAAGCAAAGCAGAGACAAGAAACAAGAACCCTGCTCCAGAGCAGTTACCCTCTAACTGGAGAAACTACCAAAGAGTCAATTGCAATACAATTGTGGAAACACAAGGGGCTGGTGGAGCAGTGATTAGACAACTCAAGGCTCTCCTGGAGCCCAATTCTGACCAGATATCCGTTTGTAAGCAGCTCCTGAAGCCGAGCTCTGAGGCCCCAAGGTCTGGCCCTTGGTTTACCCTGCTGTTCTCTGCCACAGTACAGACATGCCTATTTGCTGCGGCCCTCTCAGTTCAATGGGGAACCATGCAACTTCTCTGACAAGGAGGTGGAAGACTGTGCTACCAGCAGACCCTGCCGAAGTCAAGTGCGATGTGAAGGCTTTGTGTGTGCACAGACAGGTATAAAGGGCATATGAATGGGAGGGAAATATTTCAAAGGAACCATGGCGCAAGAGGATAGAGAGACAGGCCATGCCCATGGTCGTTGGCCAGGTCAGGAGGCTTCTTGTCCTCAGATTTCTGACTTAATTTTACATGTGCTATTTCATGAAAAAAACTTTAATGTGGGTGTTACCCCATTTTACAATCTAAGACATCAAGATTTGGAGGGACTGTCTTCTCAAACCACAGAACTGGTAAGTGGGAGAACTGCAATTAGAGGTCTGGGATTTTATTTTATTTTATTTTATTTTATTTTATTTTTTTATTTAATAAATGTGAATTTACAAAGTGCAACTTTTGTATTGTTGTGGCTTCCCCCCTCCACAACCTCCCTCCCTCCCGTGGCCCTCCCCTCTCCCACTCCCTCTCCCATCCCGCCCTTCATCGAGTTTCATTTTCAATTACCTTCATATACAGAAGATCAACTTAGTATACACTAACCAAGGATTTCAACAGGCTGCACTCACACAACCACACAAGGTATAGGGTATTGATCGACTAGTAGTGTTGTTTTTAAGTTTCATAGTAAAACACATTAAGGACAGAGATCCTACATGGGGAGCCTGTACTCAGTGACTCCCGTTGTTGATTTAACAATTGGCACTCTTATTTATGACATCAGCAATCACCCGAGACTCTTGCTATGAGCTGTCTAGGCTATGGAAGCCCCTTGAGTTCACCGACTCTGAACTTGTTTAGTCAAGGCCATATCACAGTGGAGGTTCCTTCCTCCTTTCAGAGAAAGGCGCCTCCTTCCTTGATGGCCTGTTCCTTCTGCTGGGGTCTTGTTCACCAGGATCTTTCATTTAGATTGCTTTTTGCCACTGTGTCATGGCTTCCCATGCCTGTGAGACTCTCATGGACCTTTTAGCCAGATCCGAATGTCCCAAGGGTTGATTCTGAGGCAGGAGTGCTGTTTTGGGCATTTGCCATTCTATGAGTCTGCTGTGTGTCCTGCTTCCCCCGCAGGATCATTCTCTCCCTTTTAATTCTATCCTTCATTATTTGCTTACACTGGTCTTATTTGTGAAATCTCTTCGACACTTACCCTATCTTTTTGATCGGTTGTGTATTTATACTTATCATTTTACCAAGTGCGCTGGCATTGGTACCTGCCTCCTTGGTAAGATTGAGCTGAAATCCCCTGGCACATTCTAGTTCCACCATTGGAGGTAAGTCCGAGTGAGGTTTGGGATTTTAAATGTCAGATCTTTGACATTAAGGACACCAAAACTGTGACTGCTGGAATCAGAAATCCTGGGTCCAAGCTTATTTTGATTTTGTGATCCAGGAGAAATCACTTAATCTTTTCTTTTTTATTAAGATTTATTTATTTATTTGAAAGTCAGAGTTAGAGAGAGAGAGAGAGAGAGAAAGGTCTTCCATCTACTGGTTCACTCCTCAATTGGCCACAGTGCCCGGAGCTGCACCTATCTGAAGCCAGGAGCCCGGAGCTTCTTCTGGGTCTCCCATGTGGGTACATGGGCCTAAGCACTTGGGCCATCTTCTAATGCTTTCCCAGGCCATAGCAGAGAGCTAGATCTGAAGTAGAGTGGCTGGGACTTGAACCTGCGTCCATATGGGATGCTGGCACTGCAGGTGGCAGCTTTACCCGCTAAGCCACAGCGCCAGTCCTGCTTTATCTTTCTTATTTACTTCCTTCAAGAGGAAATTGGAATGATGTCTTGAACATCAAGTGACATAGTGGATATGAAATCTTTGTAGACTGTTGGTTCTGTAACTCTCAACTCTCACAGAGACCTGGAATTGAGTATAGTGAGGCCAAACCCAAAATAGTTGAGGACAGTGGTTAGTGTCCTTTATCCCTGAAAGAATTCCTGTCATTTGCATTTCTGCATCACCAAGTCCAGGATGACCCTTAATGCATGATAGTTAGTAAAAGTGTTTGATGAGAAGAAGGAAGGAAAGCAAAGGTAGGACAAATGGACAGACTATCAGAAGGAAGAAAGGAACACAGAAGTGAGTATTTATCCCTTGCAGAACTAAGCAAGCAATTGTCTTTCCAACCCACCCATTTAACTGATCTAAGCAAACATGTGCCTTCCTATTTCTACCTTTAGCAAAAATAAGGGGGCTTGGACCTAAATTATTTACATGGGAGTTGTGACTTCTTACAGTCATTGTGGGTTGTGTTTTGGAATCTTTCAAAAAACTAAGTAGGAATTCTTAGAACAATTTTGAGGGCAAAATTCCATCCAAAAAAATCTGAGAGGCTTTTTTACAGTGTATCATCCATGCATTCATTATGGCCAGCATTCTGTGATTCTGACCAGGGCCATGATGGCTATGCAGGCAGGCTTTCATTTAAATGACTTGCGAGAAACATTCAAAAACCAGATTATTCTTTATCTGCCTTTAACCCTCTGAGAACGTTGGTTAACAGACACATCTAGGAGAGAGGGCAGCCTGTCTCATGGGCTTTAGCCCCCAACAATATGCAAAGAAGGAAGGAAGTTCATGGATAAACAGGGCAAAGGAAGCAAAAGCAAGGCAAATAGTTGTTCACAGTCCAAGCGGCTATGATGCTGCAGGCAGTGTGGTTTGGTAGGAAGAAGTTGTGATCAGACAGCTCAGAGTTGCAGTCCTGTTGGGGACATTCACTAGGAACATGCACGCGGCCCACACAGTACTAATAATGATGGCACACAGCATGTGCCATGAGTCAGGGCTATTTCACGTACTCATTTAGATCCCCAGCAACCCTAAGGGGTAGGTATGATGACTTCTCTCTTTCACAGAGACAGGGAGACTAGGGAACACGTGAAAGGGAGCATGGGCCGGCGCCGCGGCTCACTAGGCTAATCATCCGCCTTGCGGCACCGGCACACCGGGTTCTAGTCCCGGTCGAGGCACCGGATTCTGTCCCGGTTGCCCCTCTTCCAGGCCAGCTCTCTGCTGTGGCCAGGGAGTGCAGTGGAGGATGGCTTAAGTGCTTGGGCCCTGCACCCCATGGGAGACCAGGATAAGCACCTGGCTCCTGCCATCGGATCAGCGCGGAGCGCCGGCCGCAGCGCGCTGGCTGCGGCGGCCATTGGAGGGTGAACCAATGGCAAAAGGAAGACCTTTCTCTCTGTCTCTCTCTCTCTCACTGTCCACTCTGCCTGTCAAAAAAAAAAAAAAAAAAAAAAAAAAAAGGGAGCATGGCTAGCCCTGTGTGCAAGATCCATCAGACAACTTCTGCCAAGTTTTCAAGAGAGAAGCGCAGCCTGCCCTCCTGCCAGGCACTTGATCCCTGTTTATTAGGCACCTGCTGTCTACCCATCCTCCCCCTGACAGAGTGGCACCAAACAATCTCTTGTCTGGAAGTCCTTTAGGGAATACAACCCTGGCCTCTATGGGACAGGGGAGGAGGCACAAAGAATAAACCTTCAGTGCATTACCAATCCACCCTGATACCGAGGGATCAATGAAAACAGAGCATTAAAGGGCCAGCAAAGTGTCTGGCACAGAACAGGTGTTCACACAACATTAGCCCCTCTCACGACAGCCAGGTGACCGTGGGTAACACCCTTTGTCCCTTCCAGGGCGATGTGTGAACCGCAGGCTTCTTTGCAATGGGGACAATGACTGTGGAGACCAGTCCGATGAGGCCAACTGCAGGAAGATTTATAAAAAATGTCACCATGAAATGGAGCAATATTGGGCAATTGGCAGCCTGGCTAGCGGGTGAGTCACTGTCTTTCTGTTGTGCAGATGGGAAGGCACAAAATTAAATAGAATTCTGGAAACATAATAGGGAGGGAGCTCATATCCAGCAGAGTTCCTTTCTTTCCTTTATGAAATAAAAGGCTGTACTGGGGGTGGATGCCTCTGGCTGCTCTCTGAAGACAGTTCCAAGCCGCTCCAGAAGTATGGCCCATGACCACTGAGGGCCACAGGGAGGGCTTAGTAACCCTGGGACAGTACCATGTGTGCAAAACATTCAGGCTGCTGTGCCTCGATGGGGGATGGACGTTATTTTATTTTATTTTTAGAATTTATTTTATTTTTATTTATTTGAAAGGTAGAGTGACAGAGAGAGGTAGAGACACAGAGAGAGAGAGGTCTTCCATCTGCTGGTTCACTCCCCAAATGGCTGTAACGACCAAGGCTGGGCCAGACTGAAGCCAGGAGCCAGGGGCTTTTTCTAGGTCTCCCATCGAGTGCGGAGGCCCAAGCACTTAGGCCATCTTCCACTGCTTTCCCAGGCCTCAGCAGAAAGCTAGATCGGAAATGGAGCAGCCAGGACTCGAACTGGTGCCCATATGGGATGCCGGCACTGCAGGCGGTGGCTCTACCTGCTATGCCACAGCACTGGCCCCCAAGGATGGACATTTTAACTCCTGAGATGTGATCACATTGGGTGCTTCCCCAGCATCACCTCTGAGCCCCTTTGGCAACAGGCTTGGTAAATTTTTCTTTTTTCAGCCCCAGTCCCCAGCAGAGGCCAAGGCCGAGAGCAGAGGCTCCTCAGTAATTAGTGAAGGGATAGATTTCCAGATGCATTTGCAACTAGCCTGTGTTCCAAGCTGCGTCTGGGAGTCTCTGAGTTGGTCTAATTCTCTGGCGGGGGCAGAGGAACAAGGTCAGAAGGTGCCAAATGAGCCTGGCGCTCAATCTAATCACTTGCTGCACTCTGCAGCTTATCAGCCTGCAGGTGGAACAACGAGGCCATCTCTCAGGTGCATGAAGAGTCATTGCATGTGATGTAGCACTGGGGAGGGAATAGGGACCCTGAATGGAGCGTGCCTTCTTCCTAAATATGCATCAGAGAGAAACTCATGTGGTGGGGAGGTGGGAGCAGGAAGGTTCTTTTACAATCACTGGTTATTACAAACCACACCTCCTGACAAGGAAACTAAGGCCCAGAAAAGTCAGGCGAATCCCAGTCACTCAGCTATGGGGAGCAGTGCAGACCTTCAAAGCCCATAGTAGGATCCAGGGAACCCTGTAGGGAAGGACAGAAACACAGCTCAGTGGTCAGGTACCTGTCCTGGGGCACCTCTCTGTGCAGGACTTCCATTTTATCCTTTGTAGGAGGAAGGCGGCAATGCCCTTAGCTCAGAGGTCCTGGAGGACTGAGTGAGTAATAAACGGAGAGGCAGCTCATATGATGGGAAGAATGTAGATCTATTCTTGAACTTGACCATGAGACCCCACATTGCAGCCTCATTAACTGCTGCTGGCAGCAAGACCTAGGACAAGTCAATTGCCCTCTCTATGCTACACATTTCCTCTGTAGATTGGGAATGGTAATATCTCTGTTAATGATGAATCCTCATAAGGATTAAAGGTGCCAGTGTGGAAATTCTGATAGTGCCTCCATAAAACAAGCACCCTGTTAAGTTTGTTAAGTGAAATCAATAAATATACGTGATTATGAGACTTGGAAACCTGCCGTGGGATAGGGTGATGAACAGAACAAAGGCCCATGGGTGCAAGCTGGTGGGAGAGAGCGCTCCTTTGCAGGAAAGGGAATTTCATTCATCAGAGATGGTGAAGGACGGAGGATTCCTTAGAAGCAGGGACTGGCCTTTCTTCCTCTCTGGAATGGCCGTCATAACAGCTGCTGGGGGACGTGAATTGAGATGACACATGGAGTCACCCATACTACGTCTGCCACTGATGAAACCTCTATAAGTGACAGTTATTTGAATGGGTTTTGTGATGGGAGTTGAATTGAAGTTAAGAAAATCATCACCCTCAAAGGGTACTCAGTCTAGCGGGGGTGACAGACACCTAGACCACAAACAGTGACTGCAGCAAGCGGCGTTTCAAGAACTTACCACTGACACGAGTGAGCTTTACAACACCCCCGTGACGTAGGTATTTTCATTGCCCTCAGAAGACTGAGGCACTGACATGTGAAGTGGTTTGCCCAAGGTCACAAAGCTAGTACGTGGCAGCAAAGGCGTTTGGTCTCAGGCAGCTGGCTCCAAACCCTGTGCTCTTATCCATGAGCGATGCCACTCTCCTGAGAAAACTGCTGTGGAACAGAGCACTAAATGCAGGACAGCATTAGCACGGGTGTCACGAGGGCTTCTCACCCAGATGGTGGGGGTCTCAGGTACAATAAGCAACAGGGAAGCCTTCCAACACCGGGTGACAACAGAGAGCTACTTTTTCTTTTTTGAAGATTTGTTTATTTATTTGAAAGACAGAATGACAGAAAGAGAATCTTCCATCTGTCCACGTGGTTCACTCCCCAGTGAATAGAGTAGTTGGGGCTGGGCCAGGCTAAAGCCTGGAGCCAGGGACTCTATCCAGGTTTTCCATGTGGGTGGCAGGAACTCAAGTACTTGGGCCATCATCTGCTGCTTCCCAGGCACCCTAGCAGAGTGGACCTGAAGTTGAGTAACTAGAACTCAAATCAGCAGTCTGATATGGGGTGCAGGCATGCAAGTGGTGGCTTAACTCGCTGCACCTCAATGCTGGCTCCAACAGAGTTCAGTCTTGAAGACAAGTGGGAGGTAAAATAGTGGAGGGGCTGGAACGTGTTCAGGACCGCGGGAGCAGCCCTTACACCTAGAAAGAGCAAAGCAGACTGTACAGCCGGCCTCATCAAATGGCTGAGGACCAGCACAAATGGTCATGGTTGAGGGCGGCCAGAGGAGAAGCTGGGACACTGGTTAGGGCCAGATATCAAAGGCCTTGAATGCCCTTCCAAGGATATTTTGATTTTATCCAGTATGGTCTGCCGCTGAGGTTATACAACCTGGGGGCAGACACATTTGGCACTGTGTTGAAGATGCTGCATTGGAAACCCAAATCCCATATCACAGTTCTGGATTCAAGTTCTGGCTCCACTCTCAATTCCAGCTTCCAGCTGATGCACACCAGGAGGCCCAGGTGATGGCTCTAGTGGGTGTGTTCCTGCCCACCCATGTAGGAGACCTGGATTAAGTGGGTAGTAGGTCTTGGCACTTCCCACACCCTCTGTCTTCCTGTCCCTCAAACACAAAAGCACAACCGAAACACAGAAGTAAGAACAATGAAAGAGCTTATAGGACCTGAGCTGCTGGACCCCTTCACCCTCTCTGTACCTTTCCCCCAGGATAAATTTGTTCACCAACAGTCTGGAGGGACCGGTTCTGGATCACAGGTATTACGCCGGTGGATGCAACCCTCATTACATCCTGGACGTGAGGTTTAGGAAGCCATACAATGTGGAAAGCTACACCCCACAGGTAAGTGACAGCCTGGAAGCCGCATGGAGGCAGCACTAGTCAGATCCGGCCAGCAGACCAGGGCCCGGCCCTGCAGCCTGCCCGTGGGAGTGCCTGGTGCAATCCTCTCTCCTTGTGCCTCGCGTCTTCATCTGCACAATGAGCAGTGGCTTCCTCTGGACGCTGTGGAGAGGAGGACACACTGTCTATAGGGACAGTAGCAGTCAGGGCAGCAGCAGTAATCAATGATAGCAAAGCTGCTGTGAAGACAGAAATAGAGCTTGGGACTCCCTGCCTGTGTCATTCTAAGCACACTGAGCCTCCATTCTCTTCTGAGTTCAGAAGGTTCTGCCCTGAAGGCACAGGATTGGTGAGATAAGGCACTGCAGGTGCTTAGCACTGGCTCAATGATGAGTGCTCAGGAAATGTAACCTCAGCTTGTTGTTCTGATCGCTGTTGTCAAGTTCTTGCCCGTTGACAGTGCGCGCTGTTCTAATCATCCTGAAGTACACAGTGCTCCCCCAGTGTCAGCCTGCACCACCATGAAGCACGTCTCAGGCGGTGGGGTTTAGAACAGACCACATGTCCTGCTGCAGGCCAGCTGCAGGCCCCGGCCCTGCCTTAGGCTACATTCCTTTCCACTCTGGGCCTCAGTGACTCCATCTGTAAGCTGAGGGGCCTGGGCTGAGCCTCTTGATGGTGACGTCACTTCCCAGATGGCACAGTGCTAAAGGCTTCTCACCTCCTCCTGCCCCCTCTCCTCGCCCTTCCCCCAGACACCCATTTACTCCCCCACAGAGAAAAAGTGAGGCCAGGGCCAACTGCCCTCTAGCAGGGTGCCCATGGCCACACACATGGCCTTGTCTCCCAAGAGAAGAACCAGGGCAGGCATTTATTACCCAGGATGAGACAGCTCCTAGCCCAGGGTCTAACATCTCTGCTTTCCTTTGAGTGCTGGGCTGGGCACGGTGCCAGGTTTCACCAGGATACGCTCAGTCCTCAGCATGAGCCTTGTGGGAGGGAAAACGATCATCCCCATTTTACACATGGACACACCGAGGTTCAAGCAGTTGTTCAACGCTATCCACCTAGAACAGGGCAGTGAGGCAATGCCTCTCTGTGGGCAGCCTTAGCTCAGCCAGTCCAAAATGTATCCACATTTTGGCTGCTTCCCTCCCCCGAGCAGCCGTGCCCTCCTATGAGATCTACAGGTACCCTGATGCCTGTGGGAGTGTGTGGAGGTGGAGGTAAGTGGGTCTGGTCACTGCTGGGCCCCAGGGGCAGCCCTGCTAGGCACAGGACAATGAATGCTGATTTCCCAGCAGACAGGTCCTTCCAAGTTCTCGCTAAAGGTTTTCCTGCCCTGTTGCTTCCTTCCCCCTGCTACTGCCTATGACCAGACCTCCCCGACCAGCTCCTGCCTGACTCCTCCAGCCTCTTCATGTCCCTTCCAATCCAGCTGCAGTGCTGTCCCGGGACGCTCCGCCTGAGGCTCAGCTACTTCCTCCATTGGTTCCTCTTTGGATTAAGCCCAGATTCAGAGCAAGTGACTCAAGCCTCAACTCCTTGCTACCAACACATTCTCTTGCATCACCTCCCCATACCTTCACTCTTGCATCTTCTGATTCGACCTCCCTGGAACCCTTCAGCTCCAAGAAGTCATTCTGACCTGTCCCATCTCTGGGTCATCACCGTAGGCAAGGCCACCACCCAGAATGTCCTCCTACTCTTTGGCCAAATGAAATCCAAATCAAGCACCCACTCCGAGTTTGCCCTGCAGCTTTAGAGAGGTCCATTTCTCCTCCTGGATCAAGATCCCTGAGTGGTAGAATGGGGCTCATTAGCTCTGATTTTTCTGTATCCTGGACATCGAGGAGCCCTCTGGCATTTAGTAAGAGGACAGAGGGTATAACTGCCTGGTGCCCAACTGAACTGAGTCAAGTGAAATAAAAAACATTTTTGCTTCCTCTTCTTTTAGACCCAAGGCAAATACAAATTTGCGCTGGCAGAATATGAATCCTACTCAGATTTTGAACGCAATGTCATGGAGAAAACATACAGCAAGTCTACTTTCAATCTGGGTTTTAAAATACCTAGCATATTTGAATTTGGCATTAACACAGAAAGTGATCAACTCATGAATTATATCAGCAGAACCAAACGCTTCTCTCACACGGTAAGTACCCTGTGGTTGCTTTGACATCTACACGTATTCTTTTGAAATTCCATGCCCACAGACATGTCTGAATTCCACACATGTTATTGCTAGCTCCTATGACCAAGGATATTTCTGTTGTCTTGAAAGTGTTTTCGGGGCCAGTGCTGTGGTGCAATGGGTTAAAGCCCCAGCCTGCAGCGCCAGCATCCCATATGGGCACAAGTTCAAGTCCCAGCTGCTCCACTTCCAATTCAGCTCTCTGCTTTGGTCTGGGAAAGCAGTGGCAGATGGCCCAAGTCCTTGGGCCCCTGCACCTGTGTGGGAGACCTGGAAGAAGGTCCTGGCTCCTGGCTTCAGATCAGCTCAGCTCTGGCCATTGCGGTCATTTAGGGAGTAAACCAGTGGAATGGAAAACCTCTCTTTTGCTCTACCTCTCTCTGTAACTCTGTCTTTCAAATAAATAAAATAATTCTTAAAAAAAAAGTGTTTTCACCAAAATCAGTTTGGTTTTGTATTGACTTACCTTTTAGGGAGTCCAGGCAGAGACAGCCTTCTGCAATTATGTTTTAAACTTTTTATTTTTATTTTTATTTTTTTTTTGACAGGCAGAGTGGACAGTGAGAGAGAGAGACAGAGAGAAAGGTCTTCCTTTGCCGTTGGTTCACCCTCCAATGGCTGCCGCGGCCGGCGCGCTGCGGCCGTCGCACCGCGCTGATCCGATGGCAGGAGCCAGGAGCCAGGTGCTTTTCCTGGTCTCCCATGGGGTGCAGGGCCCAAGCACCTGGGCCATCCTCCACTGCACTCCCTGGCCACAGCAGAGGGCTGGCCTGGAAGAGGGGCAACTGGGACAGAATCCGGCGCCCCGACCGGGACTAGAACCCGGTGTGCCGGCGCCGCTAGGCGGAGGATTAGCCTATTGAGCCGCGGCGCCGGCCTTTTTAAACTTTTTAAAAAAAGATTTGTTTATTTGAAAGGCATAATGAGAGAGAGAGAGAGAGAGAGAGAGAGAGATCTTTCCTTTGCTGTTTTTCTCCCCAAATGGCTGCAATGACAAGGAATGGGCTAGGCTGAAGTCAGGAGCCAGGAGTTTCTTCTGGGTCTGCTACACCCAAGAACTTGGATTATCCTCCACTGTTTTCCCAGGTACATTAGCAGGGAGCTGGATCAGAAGTGGAGCACCCAGGACTTGAATTGGTGCTCATTTGGGATTCCAGTGCTGCAGATGGAGGTGTTACTTACTATGCCACAGGGTCAGCCCCTTCTGAAACTATTTTCTTATGTTTGCTAATAAGCATTTTCCATTGATGTTCAATAAGCTTAAGATGTGGCTTGGCCAGATCAAAGCCTCTCTGGAGACTTTTTAGCCCACAGCAATATGACTTCCGTCCCAGTCAATCAGCTAAAATTCCTCCGTGGGATGTTACCCTAGATCTCTTCTCTGACTGCTGGGGGTCCCTGGTGGAGCTGACCACACACCATGGCTTTCCTGTTTCTCCTGCTCTCTTGCTGTTTTTTATCAGCTTCCTTCCTGGGTTTAATATCCTCACCTGTTCTCTCTTTTTAAAACAAAAAGATTTCTTTATTTGAAAGGGGTGGGGGAGAGAAAGAGAGAGAGAGAGAGAGATATGATAGGAAGATCTTCTGTCTACTGATTCACTCCCCTAAATGGCCACAATGGCCAGGGCTGGGTTGGGCCAAACCCAGGAAACAGGAACTCCATCCAAGTCTCCTACCCTGGTTGCAGGGGCCCAAGTTCTTGGACCATGTGCACTGCTTTCCCAGGCTGCTTAGCTGGGAGCTGGATTGCAAATGGAGCTGCCAGGACTCAAACTGGCACTCTGAAAGGGGTGCCTTTGTCATAAGCAGCAGCTCAACCCACTTAACTCACTTTGCCAGAATGCTGGCCCCCTTCATCCATTCTTTATTTAATTTGTGTCTGTTTTCCCTTTTTACTCTGCAGCCATTCTGGGGCTCCCTTCTATTTATCTCTTTTTTTAAGCTTTAAAAATTTTTTATTTATTTGAAAGGCAGAGAGACAGGCAATACATACAAATGCGTGCACACACACACACACACACACACACACAGAGAGAGAGAGAGAGAGAGAGAATCTTCTATCCCTGAGTCACTCCCCAAAATGTCTGCAATGTCCAGGGCTGGGCCAGGCTGAAGCCAGAGCTGGGAATTCAGTCTCTGTCTCCCATATGAGTGGCAGGGAAACAAATAGTTGAGCTGTATCTACAGCATTGATCCAATCATATCATCTGACCTGTATTTCCCAGAAGGTGAAAGGCAGGGTCCCTGGTAGGGTGCACGATGAGGAATTGAAGTGGGGAGTAATGACAAATGATGTTGGGGAGGCAGGTGATGGGCAGAATTGAGGACCCTTGAATCCTGGGGTGAGGAAACGTCTCCCATTCATGTTTTCAACATGAGCCTGATGCAACAGAACATGACAGAGATCAGTCTGAAAATCTGTCTACAATGACTTGTCACATGAGGGGCCAGCCCTGTGGCATAGTGGGTAAAGCTTCTACCTGCAGCACTGGCATCTCATATGGGTGCCAGTTCCAGACCCAGCCATTCCACTTCTGATCCAGCTCCCTGCTAATACACCTGGGAAAGCCGTAGAAGATGATCCAAGCCCTTGGGCCCCTACATCCATGTGGGAGACCTGGAAGAAGCTCCTGATCCCTGGCTTCAGCCAGCATAGCCCCAGTTGTTGTGCCATTTTGGGGAGTGACCCAGTAGATGGAAGATCTCCTTCCCTCTGTTTCTCCCTCTCTCTCAGTAACTCTGCCTTTCAAATAAATAAATTAATTTAAAAAAATGACTCGCATGAGTAAGGGAAGTGAAGAGGGGCTCTGAAAGTTCCCTGCTGCTGACATGGCAAGTTGGCATTAATTAGGCTACAACTGTCTTGGCTTCTCTTTTCTCATCTTGTAGGCTTTCAGCTCCTGGGGTGTGCAGATGCTGTTTCTTTGCTCTTTAGACTTAGAGTAGTTCTCAGGACTGAACAGTAGTGGTGTAACACAGGATGGGCTTAAATGAGATTAGGAGGCGACTTCCAAAATTTCATGGAAAGTGGAATTAAAAGATAAGTTTATCTTGGTGCAAAAACTTTTTGAAATCTATGCATAGTTTTTTTTCAGAACATAGAATTTCCATGAACATTTTGAGGACCTCTCATACCTTCCTAAGAGATAAAACAAAGAGTGCCATGCGTTTCCTGACTCCCGCTCTTCATTTCTCTTTCCCTCCCCCTTCACCACCTGAATTCAAATTTCCAGTTATTGGGTGCTAACATGGTGCTGGGCAGTACACTAGTGATTAGGACCTGAAGACAAAGACAACACAAGACTTATCCTCATTTCACAATGTAGTAGGAGAGGTAAGCATGAGGCTGAGAAATTATTATGTCTACTGCAATAGAGCATGCAGCATATGCTATAAAGAAAATACAGATGTATACCTAGACATCCCATTAGCAGGAAGCTGGATGGGAAGCGGAGAGGCTGGAACTCAAACCAGGCACTCTGATATCGGATACACACTCCCATACAAACGTGGACATACAAAGTAACGACTAAGCCACAGGGTCAAACACTCAACACAATGCAATCATAGAAAAAGACTTGTGAGTCTAGGAAATTCATGGTACCAAATAGGAGGCAATGGCTAAGGAAGGAAGAGATAAGTAGGATGTGTGTCAGGTAGGAAAGGCGAGGAAGAACATTTTGAGCAAAAGGAGCAGCAAGTGCAAAGTTATTCAGGAAAGAGCATGGTGAGTGAATAGCTGGATGATGTGGATGTTCGGTATGCTTGGAGAAAAGAAGTAAGAGGTGGAGAGGAAAACTTCAAGGCTGTAGAAGCTGGAGCTGGAGAGGCTACTGGGGGCACAGATTGTGCAAGTCTCATATTCAAAGTAAGGGAGTTGATTTTATTCTGGAGGCAAGAGTGAGCCATTGCAGGGTTTTGTTTAAGCCTGGAGGAGCATTCATGATGCTGAGAGGGATGTAGGACTTGCTCTGAGACACCATAGAAAAATAAGAGAGATCTGCAGGGAAGCTTTGATACTGACCCAAGCAAGAGCAGATGCAGTGTAGGAGACTTGTAAAAATAATGAGCAGAGAACCTGGGAACTGCTATGTGGGGAAGGGAAGGGAAGGGAAGGGAGAGGAAGAGAGTCAAGAGCCAGGGGGCAGGACTAGAATCTGGTGAGAGAGAGCTAGGGAGCAGAGAGGGCCTAGCCACCAGCACAGCAGAGCTGGCAGACTTGGCAGTGTTGAGGAATTTAGAATTAGGGAAGGAAGTACTCTATACAGATAATTCATGTCCTCCCCTTTTCCTCTGCTTACACTGCAATATAGAGCCCTGTAGCTTCAGGTTGCAATAATATTTCCGAGACTTAGTTGGCTATCTGTGTCTGCAGGTTCCATGTGGGTTCAACAGCATTTTATATAACACTTACATAATGCTAGCTTTTTAAGTCTCGTAGTGACTTACAGTATCAGGAAGATGTGTACATTATTGTTGCAGGGTTTTGTTTTGCTTTGTTTTTGTATGTCTGTGTAGTCTGGGCAATGACTACACTATCTTATATCAAGGACTAAGCATCCTCAGATTGTTTTATAAACTTGGGTGGGGGGAGGTCCAAGAGCCAGTTCTCTGCAGACACCAAGGGGTAAATAACCCTCTGACAGCACCAACTTCAGTCTATTGCACGCACCAGTCGGTCACCAAACTTTCTCAAAAAGGAGCCACATGGTAAGCATTTTAGGCTTCAGAGGACCATAGGTCTCTGTTGCAACTACTCCACCCTGCCATTGTAGGTGACAGCAGCTGCAGACAATCTGTAAGCATCTGGATGTGGCTATATTCCAATAAAGCTTTATTTATAAAACCAGGCACTGCATTTGTTAAGTAGCCTGTAGTTTGCTGAATCTTACCCCACATGGCCAAATCTTGTCTCCCTAAAGCACCACTTTTACTTCCTTATGTGGCTTTTCTTCAAGACAGAGGTGGACAGGTTGGGTTATCTGTGCAGATGAGCAAACCTACATCTCATCAGAGCTACTTCATGCACCCCAGCTGCTTCCTGCCATGCCTGGACCTGGGTTCCCTTCACAGTCCTTATTGGCTACAGTAAGGGGATACATCAAGAACAAGCTCTTGGAAGCTGAAAAGGACATCTGACCATTTCTGAGAATTGAGAGCTCGTGGCAGAGGCTGTCTTCCCTCAAGTAACCTGAAAGAGTCATGGGAGCGCTGACCCCAGGACAAGAACTTCAGATGGTATTTGTTCAGTTCATCTTCTCATTCCAGATTCCTCACTTTAAAGGTCTGGTTTTTCCATGTCGGTATCTCATGTAGAAAAGCAAGTTTCTGCACGCGCGCTCTGCCCTTGAAGTAGCTCATTACAAGCTGAAGCCTAGAAACCTCATGCTCCACTACGACTTCCTGCAGCGAGTGCAGCGGCTGCCGCTGGAGTACAGCTACGGGGAGTACAGAGATCTCTTCCGGGATTTCGGGACCCACTACATCACAGAAGCTGTGCTCGGGGGCATTTATGAATACACACTTATCATGAACAAAGAGGCCATGGAGAGAGCAGGTAAAATGCCCATGGGACTGCAGCTTCCCTGATGGGACTTGCGTGAATGAGGAGTTGATGGGGAGAAGTTTGTACCAGCTTTTGGAGGAAGAGTTGACTGTGAAGATGGCTTTCCCTCTGCCTACCTGGCTACACCTTCATAGTCTTGTTTACAGACTCCACCTCCCTTTCCTCCTCTTTTTGACTAGTTCATGTCAATCTTCTCCAATCAGCCTTCTGCCTGTACCATCTTCCTTTCTACAACCACTCTCTCTACATGGTCACATCCAATCTCATGGCTACAAATGCTTTCAACATGCAGATAGCTCTGAATTTTTTTCTTTGGCTGATGTCAGATTGCCTCCTAGATACCCTACTTAAATGTCTAAAAGCCATCATCAACTTAGCATGCCCCAAAGAAAACTTTCAGTATCTTTCCCAAATATGTTTCTTTCATAGTCATGTGCATCTCAGAAATGGTCCTACCATCCAGCCAGTGGATGAAGCCAAAAACAGAGAAGTCAGCCTTGATTGTGTTTCTGTCCTTTCAGGCTACTAACAAGTCACATGAGCTCTACCTCCAAATTATATTTTCTTGTTTTACTGTTACTTAGGCTCACCACAGGTTAGTGCCCTTCATAATATAATGTAAATGTGAATTACACACAAATCTTGGAAGAGGTGGCTTCTGATTGGGTAGGTTTGGGTGAGATCAGAGATTCTACATTTCAAACAAGCTTTGAGATGATACCAGAGCTGCTGATGCATAGATCACATTTTTAGTGGCAAACTCCTAGATTTACTGTTGTCTCCAAACTAATACTCAACCCCCTATTCTTCCTCTGTAATCCATCCTGCGTTCAGATACCACAAATCTTGCCAATTGTGGTCAAGCACAAGTCTCAGATATAAGTCCTGCTTTCCAGCTCAGTGTTCTTCTCTATGGCACCAATGGGTGTGCTTTAGGTCACAGAGATCATAGCAACAGAGCCAGGGATGAGTTATCTGACTGATGGACTTGCGAGATGACACATAAATGTAAATTTACGTCAGTGTGGCCTCTGTGTTCTTGAGATCAGGAGCACCTGCCTGTGTCAGAGTGGGTCCCAGTATGCTTCTTATTATTCCTCAAATGGCTTCCTGCAAAAGAGCTCTGTGATCAGTAAGGTAGGGAAACATAGTAGATGCTACTGCTAGAGTTTCACAGCAATAATATGAACTCTTCACTCTTTGAGGCAACTGTTACTTGACTGCAGAAGCTTCCTTCCTCATAACACCTGCTAATAGCTTAAGGGATTTGCGTTTCAAAGAAGATCCTTTGGGAAAAATCAATCTATACCAACAGTGGGAGAAAACCCTTGTGGTCCAATTTGCTCCTCTCTCCCTGAACTGTCCTCAAAGTGCTACAGAAACATACTGACAAGTCATAGCTGAAATTTCAGTGAGACCAAGGGAGGAGGATGCCTTGGTGAGAACTAGACAGGGAGAAAGTGGGGAGCAGTCCAAACTGAAGAGATTAGGGAAACTGGCCCCTGCTCCTTGCCAGAGATCATACCCAACATTTTATAAGCATTACCTCCATTCATTCCTTGATGAGCTTGTTTTACCTGGCTGAAGGCTGGAGATGGTGAATCAAGGAAGATAGGCAGGCTGCAACAGCCTCTGCACTCCTGGAGCCTGACCCTAGAGACTTGACCAGGAGTCAAAGGTACAGACAATTGCTCTGAGCACTTCTCTTTAGAGCACAGCGAAAATCCTCAGGGAGTCTTCAGAGGAGGCTGGAAGGGGAGGTTGAGTCAGATTCCCCTGAAGTCTCTACCCTGGTACTGATAGTTACTGCTACCTGTGTTTCTTGTAATCAGACTGGTGACCCATTTATTTGGACCTGAGTCCCAGTGAAATCCAGAAAGGGTTAAGTCTATTGTCAAACACAGGAAAATGGACGGAGTGAGTTCCCTTTTAGCCCATGGGCATGTTTCCTTGCCTCTTTCAGACTATTCTCTGAATGACGTCCAAGCCTGTGCCAAAAATGATTTTAAACTTGGTGCTGCCATTGAAGAAGTCTATGTCAGCCTGGGGGTGTCAACGAGCAAATGCCGCAGTATCCTGAATGAAATAAAAGGTGAGTGGAAAGACATGTGTCTTCTCTGCTTATAATCGCTACTGCCTGCTATCCATGTGTCTCATTTTTTTCTCTAAGCTAAATATTGCGTATTCCAAAGCATTTCAAGTATAATAATTGTTCCAATAAAAATTCATTAAGGTCCTATATTGTGTGAATGTACAAAAATGAATAAGATTAAATCCTTGTCCTCAAACTACATACATGAAGTGGCAAACCACTGTAAAGGCTACAGCCAAGCCACGGCCACTGTGGAGGACCAGGGTTCCTAGGGAAGAAAGTAAGGGAGGTACAACCTGAAGAGCAAGGTGCCAAGGTTTCTTTTCAAAAGGAAAATACAATCTAACAATGTCGGTTTCTTCTGGGGACTTGGAATCAGTATGGCTAGAGGTGAGATGCTGGGGAAGGAGGCAGGGGAAGGGGCTAGTTCTTCCCTGAGATTACGAGTGATAAGGAAACTAGAAAAGTAGGTGAAACCACAAGTCATGCAGAAGAGTCCGAAGGGCAGAAAAGATCAGCCCTGAGGTGTGGACTGAAACCAAGGTGGAGAGCCATGTGTCTGGAGCAGGAAACTTGGAAACCATACAAGGAAGCCAGGAATCATACAGCAAGTGCAGTAGGAAGGAGACTGAGCAATAAGACTCTGCTCCCTTACCCCCTTCTGCGCTCCAAGCAGCTCTGCCTTTATCTGCTCCACCTGCTGGGCTTGTGGCTGGAATTCCGTGAGAGTTCAGTAGCTGAAACAGCATAGCAACAAAAAATCAACTGCTGCTCTTGTTTGTGACTTGTCAATACTGCTGTTGGCTCATCCTAGTGGGAGGAGGGGGACTGAAGGAGTATTATATATGTGGAAGTATGCATAAATACTTAAAACAGAAGTACTCTTTAGAACAGACCTGTAAGTTACCCCCACCCCATCCCAGTCCAGGTCACTAAACAGAACTTACCCAGCACCCAGAACCCCTTTGCTGATTGTAACGATTCCTTCCCTTTTTAAGGTAACTGCTATCCCAACTTCTGTAGGCCCTTTACAATTTTTCATTTATTTGTATGAAAAGCAGAGAGAGGGATGGAGGGAAGGAGGGAGACGAGAGACAGAGAGAGTGAAAGTGAGAGAGAGAAAGAGAAAGAGACAGAGAAATCTTCCGTTCACTAGTGTACTTCCCAAAGGCCTACGACAGCCAGGGCAGGGGCAAGCTGAAGCCATGAGCCCAGAACTCCATCTGGGTCTCCCTGTGGGTGACAGGGACTCAAGTACTTGAGCCATCACCTGCTGCCTCCCAGAGCACATTCACAAGAAGCTGTAATGGAGATGGAGCCAGTATTCAAACCCAGACATTCTGTTATAGGATGCAAGTGTCCCAATACACAGTTTAATAGCTGTACAAATGTCTTTGGTTCTTCATAGTTTCCACCTGTATGTATCACCAACCAATATGCTTTGGGTTGCTTGGTTTTGGACTCTATAAGGGTGGAATGCAATCTTTCATTTTGTATTCAGCACTGTGTTTTTGTGTACAACAGTAGTTAGTTCACTTTCATTGCTGCATAGTATTTCAGTGGGTGAATGTGTCACTTCTTTTTTTGCTCATTCTACTGTTGATGCATATTTCAGTTGTTTCTCCCTTTAAGCAGTCATAACCAGTGCTGCTAGGAACATCTTCCATAGTCATCTGTATACACAGGCAAGTGTTTCTCCAGGGAATATACTCAGGCGTGGAATTGCTGGGTTGTCAAGGTTGTGCTTTTTCCACTTGACTAGATAATGCCAACCTGCATTTGAAAATGGTTGTACCAGTTTGCACTCTTACCAGCAGTATACAAAGCTCCCATTTTTATGGTGCTCAGGTGCTATCAACTTGTTGATGGGGAACCATTTGACACAAGTTCTTTTGGCATTGGACACACAGTATCCACTGTTCAGTGAGCTGAGCTCAGTCTTTGTAATTTTCCCCATTGTTGTCATATGGGACAAAGAAGGGACATCGCTTAGGCCTGGGTGTGGCTGCCTGGGTAAGAAACTCCAACTTCCTCAAATTTCTTAGCTGCTAAATTGAGATTACATAGTTAAAGATGAAATGAGTATAAGCAGGCACAATACTTGCATGGGTGATGATCATAAAAAAACCAATAAGTATTAGCTGTTCTCATACCCGTTACTTTTTATATGGATTAGAAGATCCACAAGGGGCTGGCACCATGGCTCAATAGGTTAATCCTCTGCCTGCGGTGCCGGCACCCCGGGTTCTAGTCCCGGTCAGGGCAACGGATTCTGTCCCGGTTGCCCCTCTTCCAGTCCAGCTCTGTGCTATGTCCCGGAATTGCAGTGGAGGATGGCTCAAGTCCTTGGGCCCTGCACCCGCATGGCTTTGGATCAAGTCCTTGGGCCCTGCACCTGGCTCCTGGCTTTGGATCAACTTGGTGCGCCGGCCGCAGCGCACTGGCCACAGTGGCCATTGGAGGGTGAACCAATGGGAACGGAAGACCTTTCTCTCTGTCTCTCTGTCTCTCTCTCTCACTGTCCACTCTGCCTGTCCAAAAAAAAAAAAAAAAATCCACAAGGTAAAAGGGAATGCACAGATGAGAAAAATAAAATAAAGTCCCATATGTAAATGTTCTATCTGAGACCACAGACTAGAAAAGTTGCTGAGGGTCAGGCCAGGTCAAGGGGTACAGGGTGATGGGTGTGTGCAGATAAATCTGGTCTCTGTCCAATGAGCTCCACCTTGTTCTGCTCTCTGAGCATGCAATTAGACACCATGGGGTAAGCTTCCCTTTGACTCATGGGCCAGGCCTGCCTTGCAGGCAGGGAAGTGTCCTCTCTCCCCACATCTCCCAGGTAGGCTCAGTGAATACCATGATAACCTGATCACTGTCTGGGCTGCAATGAATTATGTGAAAATAGATCTTTGATGACATGCCAGCCTTCTGTGTCCATTCCAGACCGCAACAAAAGGGACACCATGGTGCAAGACTTGGTGGTCCTTGTTCGAGGTGGGGCAAGTGAGCACATCACCGCCTTGGCGTACAGTGATCTGCCGACGGCAGACCTGATGCAGGAGTGGGGAGACGCCGTGCAGTACAACCCAGCCATCATTAAAATCAAGGTATGCACAACGGCCCTACTGTCCTTGCCTTTACTGAGAACATGGCCCCCAAGGGCCTACTGTGAGGACGGAGATCAGTAAGATCTCGAGGCACATAGGTCATAGTAAACTATGTATACAGAATGGATTCTTTTTTTTTTTTTTTTTTTTTTTTTTTTTGACAGGCAGAGTGGACAGTGGGAGAGAGAGACAGAGAGAAAGGTCTTCCTTTGCCGTTGGTTCACCCTCCAATGGCCGCCGCTGCAGCCGGCGCACCGCGCTGATCCGATGGCAGGAGCCAGCAGCCAGGTGCTTTTTCCTGGTCTCCCATGGGGTGCAGAGCCCAAGCACCTGGGCCATCCTCCACTGCACTCCCTGGCCACAGCAGAGAGCTGGCCTGGAAGAGGGGCAACCGGGACAGAATCCGGCACCCTGACCGGGACTAGAACCCGGTGTGCCGGCGCCGCAAGGTGGAGGATTAGCCTATTGAGCCACGGCGCCGGCTTAGAATGGATTCTAATGCACTACTTAGGACTACCTGGAGACTCCTGGCTTCCTCCCTCTTTGTCCCCCATGTTGCTAAAGAAAATTAATTGCCAGCTTCTAAGACTAGCCCTCTTCCATTAATATTCTTTCCATTTCCTGATAGAAGCCTGCATTCAGCTATTTGTTCATTTAAACACTCATGCATTCAACCAACCAACAGTTGGTAAGTTCCTGCTCAGTGATAGGGAGTAAGGCACAGAGTAGGAAACAAAGAGGCATGCAAGAAGCAAAACCAAGATCTGGGATGGATGGTGAGAGCCACCTTTTTGTAACCACCTTACAGGACAGGATGTGGCATCATGGCAATGACGAACATGCTTGGAGCCCCTGCACTGGTCATGACAGTCTGCCATGAACTCCAGGAAAGTTATTTCACTGAACCCTCACAATCATCTGCAAATTAAGTATTTATCTCCATGGTGTGGCTGTTAAAAATCAACAGTCAGAGAACTTACATTCATCTGTGGCTGCTTGAGTCTCTACTAGGTCCAGACGGGAGATTTGACTTGTTCCTTCCCCTCTAGATTTTCCTCTGGGTTTAGTGAATCATTTAAAAAAAAGTGACCCTAACCACCTGTCACCCAAGCGAGAGTTTTGAAACCTTTAACTAACAAGACTTTTGTTCAATGAGATTGTCACACACATCAGCGATGGTTGGCCTTTGCCTCTGTGGACTTCTGCACAACATCTCCAGCAATCCTACACATCCTCCTCCTGCCAGTGTCTGCATAGTCATGGATGGGCCCTGCCCCTGAGATGCCCCCTTGCAGTCAAGTGAGGGACCAGAGCTCTGAAGAGAGATGCTTCTGTCTCTGACCCTGAACATTTGCCACAGTGTCTTTTTTTAAAAGATTTATTTTGTTTATTTAAAAGATAGAGTTACAGAGAGAGGTAGAGCCAGAGAGAGAGAGAGAGAGAGAGAGGTCTTCCATCCACTGGTTCACTCCCCAAATGACAGCAAGAGCCAGAGCTGAGCTGATCCAAAGACAGGAGCCAGGAGCTTCTTCTGGGTCTCCCATATGAGTGCAGGGGCCCAAGGACTTGGGCCATCTTCTATTGCTTTCCCAGGCTGAAGCAGAGAGTTGTATAGGAAGTGGAGCAGCTGGGACTTGAACCAGTGCCCATATGGGATACCGGTGCTGTAGGCCAGGGCTTTAACCCACTGCAGCATAGCACTGGCCCCATCCACAGTTTCTTTGTGCGTCAAATGAAGAGTTTCAACAGGACAACATAGTTGCCATCGAAGTCCTCCCCTCTGCACTTACTCAGTAGTAGTTCTTAGGGTACAGTTTCTGGCAAGCAAGAGATAGATAAAGGTAGCCATGGGGCAGGAAGCTCTAGAAGAACCTGGGCTTGATGCTACGGTAATATTGGTTGGTATCACAGATGGTCCTGGAAGAGAACAAAGAGTTCAGGGAGCAGAAAGATCTCCGGTCTTCATTTTATTGAGATTTATTGTATTAATCTTGGTTGGTTTTTGTTTGTTTGTTTGTTTTTTAGCTAAGAAGAAAGAGAATGCCCTGGTTACTCAGATAGGTTGCATATGTCAGCCTAGGTACTGGGAATGTCAAGTGCCAAGCATGTGTTGCCTTGTGGGGTGTGTCGGAGAATCAGAGGTTCTCAGGAGCTGCAGGAGCAAGGCAGGAAAGAGTGTTGTAGGTTTTCATGCACCTGTGTACCTCTTTAGCCTGTGTTGCAAATTCATCCTTTGCTGTTCCACCTTTTGATACACTCATTCTGGCAAGAGAAAGCTGCAGATGTCTTCCCGTTGTCTCAGCCTAATCCCTCTTTGCAGAGCCAGCTTGCCAGGTAGCTGGGGCGGTGATTGCTTTTCAGGACAGCAGAAGCCACTAGAAGAGTAATCGCTAGATCTAAGGCTGGAGTGTATAAACCAGTCTCTAAGATCAAGACTTGGAACATGATTTTATAGAAGCAAAATTGGTAGGGAAGGGGATCCCAGAAGAAGCCATTCACATTGTTTACTGGTAAATTTTAAACATCAAGAAATGGATCTTTGTTCAGTGATGGACATGTAAAGAGATTTTTGAACACAAAAGGTTGCTATCATGTTTGAGATGCTGAAAATGAACATCCGTTTAATAAAATGGAAAAACAGAAGTAAATTGTATGATGCATTTGCTCTGGGATTGTAATAAAATTCAAGAAAATGAGGAATTTATAAAATGGGAAAATTGCAGCTAAGATGTTTAGACCCTAATCAGACGAAAAGGAAGTGGCTGAGTATAGGAAACCAACAGCAAAATAGAATTAAAACTTCCATTGGAAACTATAAAGGACAGAATTGGCCCTGCGGAAAATTGAGTCAGCGAGGTGAAAGGTGCTGTAAAAACGTTCATATACAGAAGCAAAAGACAAAGAGATTGAAGCAATGAAGGGATAGAGTACAGGGGAGGAAATCTAAGAGGCTTCTTATCGAGAAAGAGACGAGATTAAATGTGAAGATGCATTAATCAGGAGTTTCCCTGAGCTGATAATGCAAAGTGAACAGCTCATTGAAAACCAGGCAAAAACACGGACGCAAAACCATCCAGAAACACACCCTGGTGCAAGGTTTTACCTTGTTGTAGCGATCAAATCCTGCAGGAATAAAAGTCAAATTGGCTTCTTTGCAATATAAAATGTCTGCAGACAATGGGGTGAGAAGCACCAGGACTTGAAGGAAAAGCCTGTGGCCCAGAGAAAGGACCCCTACGAGTGAAGACACCAAAGATGCTTTGCTTTGCAGAGGTGCAGGAGGCACAGGGCAGGGCTGTGGGTTCAGCAAAGGACAAAACAGCATAGCCAGTCGAAGCCCAATTGCAGATACATGAGGAATTGTCTTCTAGGATAAGCAAATCTCGATACTGCACAGGGCACACTTACGCAAATGTGATTTGTTGTTTATGGCATTCAAGTGTCACTGCTTTTTACTGGTAATTCTAGCCACAGATTCTATCACCTATGTCCATTTCTATACCAATCAGAGTAGCAACATGTGGGATGGGGCCTTGGGGGCTGAAGAAGCTGGTGAACAGTCTCACACTGAGGTCGGGATGGCCACATGTGGCAGAGAAGCAAACCTCAAATCATAGTCGTTTAGTACAACAGGAGTTGTTCTCAACCCTACAACAGATCCCAAGTCTTTTGGCTTCACTCCATGTAGTCACTCAGGGATCCAGACCACAGGGCTTGGTCTTGGCGTGTGCTCCCAATATGACCACAGCAGTTATCAGGGAGTGAGTCTGATTACCTGACTCCACCATGAAGTTTCACCTGGAAGGGACACTCTCTTCCACCCACCTTTCACTGGCCAGAACAAGGAGGGCAGGAACTGTGGCTTTGCCCTGCATCCCAAAAGAGAAGCAGCTATAATCCTTAGCCAAGAGTAATAAGAATCTGTACACCTTTCTAAAACCAAATTACTCTGACAATGTAGAGAGGTTAAAGATACAAAGGCTGTGGTAGCACCTGCCTGGTAAGACAATGTTGGATCTGGACCAAGAGATCTCACCCCCAAAGGTAAACTGAAGAATAATTAAATGGCAGACAACACACCCCAAGGAAATAACTTTGCCAAGTGAAATTCTTAGTATGTGAGGGAAGATGCAATTGATGAGACAGGAACATCTCAAAGGAAATGGACAACCCTCCATTGCCTTAAATATGGAATAAATATATTCAAATGTTTACAATTAATACATTTATTTATTGAAAAAGTTAATGTAATGAGTAAGTTATTTTAGATCTATTAAATTTGTTGATTTATTTATTAAAAATTTGACAAATGTTTGACTTCCCTAGTAATAAAAATTATAATCAAATTAATGCAATATTAATTTTACCTCCTAAGTTGACAATGATTAAAAGTCTATGTTAAGGCCGGTGCCACGGCTCACTAGGATAATCCTCCACCTTGCGGCGCTGGCACACCAGGTTCTAGTCCCGGTCAGGGCGCCGGATTCTGTCCCGGTTGCCCCTCTTCCAGGCCAGCCCTCTGCTGTGGCCAGGGAGTGCAGTGGAGGATGGCCCAGGTGCTTGGGCCCTGCACCCCATGGGAGACCAGGAAAAGCACCTGGCTCCTGGCTCCTGCCATCGGATCAGCGCGGTGCGCTGGCCGCAGCGCACCGTCCGCGGTGGCCATTGGAGGGTGAACCAACGGCAAAAGGAAGACCTTTCTCTCTGTCTCTCTCTCCCACTGTCCACTCTGCCTGTCAAAAAAAAAAAAAAAAATAGCACTGAGAGGGAAAAGATTGGACACTTTTGTAAAATGGGGTGGGGATATAATTTGTTACAATTCTTTAGGAAAATAATTTAAGCAGATATACCCAAACCACTAAAAATATTCCTAGTTTTTGATCTAATGACTGACTCCAAATACAAGAATCTACTGAAGAAACTATTCGAAAAGTTGATAAAGAAGTACACAGAAAGACGTGTTGTCTTTTGTTATTTGTAGTAGTGAAAGGGAAAGAAGCCAAGGAAATAGTTAAAGGCCTGACCAGGGACCAGCTGAGCACACGGCAGTCACCCACACAGCAGGGTCCTCTGAAGCCCCAGAAAACCATTCTATCAAAGCAGAGTCAGACCTGGGAGACATGCACCTGTGATGATATCAAAGTGGAAAAAAATGGGGTGTAGAACCACACCTGTGCCCTGACTTCATGGAAATATCTCTTTATCCATCTACCTAAAAATACAGATTGAAAGAAGACAAATTCCAATGCCAGCAGTTCCAATCCTTCCCCACCCTTACTGGCCAGGTGATTTTTGTCAATGGACTGACGTTTGCTGAGCCTCAGCTTTTCCCTCTGCACAATGGGGGAACACAGACTGCTTGACTCATCAGATGCTCATGAAGATGGACAGAGGTGTGATCAGGGACGTATTCAGTTCAGCTGCTCCCTACTGCCAGCTGTGGCAGCAGCTGTGTTACTTTGTAAGGACCCTCCAGCCCACCACAGAGAACTGCAGAGGTTCCACAGAGACTGCCCAGGTCTCGGCAGCATGTTTTCACAAAGGCAGGTGTGCCAAGGGTCACTAATGGTTAGGACTGTGTGGACTCGAGAGAGACATAGGAAGAGAGAGGAAGTGTGAAGTGGGAGATAAAGGAAAGCTGAAGGAAGAAAGAAAAGAAAAGAGAGGAAAGCCAAGGGTGGGAGCATCGGGCACACACACTTCTGCAGAAAGAGGGCTACAGAGCCGTGAGAAGCTGCAGCTGAATTCCAAGGAGAATCATGGTCAGCGAAACTTAGAGATCCCTGGGATAGAAGTTGGGAATAGGAATAATCTCTTGGCTTTTTTTTTTAATTCTAGTGTTTATTTAAAAGAGTTATATATGGAGAGGGTAAGAAAGAGGTCTTCCATCCGCTGGTTCACTCCCCAAAAGGCCCTGATGGCCAGGGCTGGTCCAGGCTGAAGCCAGGCACCAAGAACTCCATCCAGGTCTCTCATGTGCGTGTCAGGGGCCCAAGTACTTGGGCCATCTTCCACTGCCTTCCCAGCTGCATTAGCAGGGGAGCTGGATCGGAAGTGGGGTGGTTGAGACTTGAACTGGTGTTCTGATATGGGATGCTGGCACTGAAGGCAGCCGCTTAACCCACTGCACCACAGCATCAGCCCCAATCTGGCTGTTTTTATCAGTTCTTAGTATTAACTGTATTAACTGGTGGGAAATATTTAGGCTTTGGATTACAATCCTGGCAATGCCATTCTTACGAGTTGTGTGACCTTGAACAAGTTACCCAGCCTCACCTGAAAGGGGGGCTGACAATTGCCACCTTGTGAGGGTGAAGTGGGGTCACAGTTGTCAGCTGCTGCACAGCTCCTGAAACGTGCAGCACGTAGAGGTTTAGTGCAGTTCAACTACTGGCTCAGCCTGTTCCCTGGAACAAATCTCAGTGCTGTTAGCAAAAGCCTGGTTAAAGGCAGCCTTTCAAGGTGCTCTGGGGGCGAAAGCTGAGACTGTTGGAGGCCCTCGCCCTTGGTGTAAAGCAGGTTCCCCCTCCTCCCTCCCAGACTCCCTCCCTCTGTGTGGCCAGGGGCTGGACCATTCTGCAAACAGCCTCTGGATCAATTCATTGACCACAAAACGGTGAGACAATGGGACCACCAAGGGGCCTTGCTTTGCCCACTGGAGTGAAGGTCAGCATCACACGCATTAAGAAATGGAAGCAATTTTCTTCCCACTGGAGGCTTCTATTAGGCATGATTGCCTGCATTTACACAGACCCTAAACTCTCCAGGGTTGGCTTAGGGCAGGATCGCAAACAAAATCTGGAGAGGAACCTGGCCCTGGAGCTCAAACTTCAGCCAAGAAAAGCTGAATACTTCTTTTCTCCTCCTCCTCCACATCCTCCTTCTTTTTCTTCTTGAAGATTCACTCATTTCTTTGAAAGGCAGAGCTACAGAGAGAGAGAGAGAGAGAGAGAGAGAGAGATCCTCAATCTGCTGGTTCCTTCCCAAACAGGCTCCAGCAGCCAGGATTGGGCAAGGCGAAAGCTGGGATCCTGGAACTCCATTCAGGTCTCCCATGTGTGTAGCAAGAGCCCAAGCATGCAGGTCTTCTGCTGCTTTCCCAGGTACATTAGCAGAGCACTGGATTGGAAGTGGAACAGCTGGGACTTGAACTGATGCTGTGATGGGGGATCCTGCTGTCGTAGGTGGCAGCTTAATCTGCTACAGCACAATGCCAGTCACAGAGCTGAACATCATTTTTAACTACTTTTTTGGACTGTGCCTCTTGTTTTCTTTTTTTAGATTTATTTATTTATTTGAAAGAGTTACAGGGAGGCAGAGGGAGAGAGATGGAGAGAGAGAGATAGAGAGAGAGAGAGAGAGAGAAAGGTCTTCTATCCACTGGTTCACTCCCCAAATGGCTGCCATGGCCAGATTTGAGTCGATCAGGAGCCAAGAGCTTCTTCCTGGTCTCCCATGTGGGTGCAGGGGCCCAAGCACTTGGGCTATCTTCTACTGGCTTCCCAGGCCATATCAGAGAGTTGGATAGGAAGTGGAGCAGCTGGGACTAGAACTGGTGCCCATATGGGATTCTGGCACTGCAGGCAGTGGCTTTACCTGCTATGCCACCACGCCAGCCCCCTCTGGTTTTTCTAACCTACAAATGACACCACATCCATTTGTGGCTTCTCCCTCTTCAATGCTGGCACATCCAGTGAGCTACCAGTATTTGTTTTTTCCGCTCCTGCATTGCTGACAGCCCGCCTTCTCCTCCATACTTGCTGCCATTGTATCCGTGAGGGCTTATGTCCCCCTTTCATCCATTCATCCTCTTCATTCACTAAGCTGGGGCTGGACCCTGGAGATACAGAGCTGAGCAGCACATAGCTCTGCTCTCCGGGAGCTTACAATCTACGAAAGGAAGGAAAAGAGAGACTTCTACACATTAACAGAATTGAATGACTATAAAGGAGCAATGAAAAACATAGAATTTGCATCAGATGGGTGGTACACACAGTATCCTGTGTATTTGATGGAGCGAAGGAGGGAAGGTGTCCTGTGGTCTTTGGAGGTCAGGAAGAGATTCATTCTTGGATGATGCAAAATTCTTTCCTGGGTTTGGAGGCAGAATGATGGTAGGACAGTACTCCTGAAGTACTTTGAAAGAGGTGAGAGTAAATCACCTCTTCTGTCCCACAAAATACAGAGTTGTCATCCAGTCTTCTCTTCTCTCATCTGCTCCTCTCTCTACTTTCTCTTGCTGCAAGTCACTGGGCTGTACTGTTGCCCCTCAACTTGGGTTATGCGACTTCCTAAGTTGAAAATATCATAAGCTGAAAATGCATTGAATACACAGAACATCAAAGACGAGCCCCACATAGCCCTGTGAGTGGGCTACTCTCCCTCATCATTATAGACCTCATCGCAAGCTGTGGTTCACAGTTGCTGTCCAGCATCCCAGGAGAGTATCCTACAGCACAGCTCTCCCCTGGGAAAAGACCGAAATTCAACACTACACGTGCAGCTTCTATTGAATGCACATCACTTTCCCATCATTGTATAGTGGAAGTAGAAGAATCATAAGCTGACACATTTCAATCTGAGGACAGTCTAGAACCATGTGTTGATGTGCTTGAGACTTGGAATTTTACCCTATTCATTATTTATGCTTAATGCTTAGCAGTTAGTAGACATTCGGTAAGAGTTTGCTGACCTGAACTTGAATGGGCTAATTTGCATATATTGGGCAGATGAAGAGAAGAGAGTGGATGGGGCATGAATCTATGTGCTGTAGCAGCCATTCAATTCCATGTGAACCCACCTGTGGTCTCTGGGTGCCAACTCCCTGCCCATCCCTGTGTGGCCTGACTTTACACTTCCATTTGCCGGGTGTTTTCTCTTGAAATAACTGCTTTTCCTCCCTTCCCAGGTGGAGCCTCTGTATGAACTGGTAACAGCCACAGATGTTGCCTATTCTAGCACAGTGAAGCAGAACATGAGGCAGGCACTGGAGGAGTTCCAGGGGGAAGTCAGCCCCTGCCGCTGTGCTCCCTGCCAAGGGAACGGAGTCCCCGTCCAGAAAGGTACCACTTCCAGGCAGCCGCTGGCTCTTGCAGAGCCACCATCTGGAGGAGGCCGCCTCTGACGCCAACCATTTGCCCACTTCTGTTTCCCAAGGAGTCAGCATGTAGGCCACCAGCAGATAGCACTCTGGCTGCCAAGATGCCCAAGTCCTGGGACCTAAGTAGCACTGGGTGCTAGCTCCATGCTGAGGACAGGAGGAGGCTGAAAGCATGTGGTCTGCAACAGGTGCGGGGATAGACTCAGGGAATCAGTCCCTCCTGGTCAAAGGCAAGGGCTGAGCAGAAGAAACCCTCTGTGTGCTTCCTGACTGATACCTTGTAAGATTTAGGGGTGGCAGAAAAGATGAGCCAGTAGAACTTGACTGCTGACTTCGAGGGTCATATCCAGGGTCACTCTGCGGGCAGGGTACCCTGAAAGAGGTGGAGGCCTAGGAAATCCCGTCCCTGTTGTGATGGGCTTACAAGAGTGATGAAGAGTCTCGTGCAGCACCCAAAGCTGGGCAACAGGAGCTTCTGGTTATAGCAAGTCCCAACCCAGGGAGCCAGCTAGAGTCAGGGCAGAGTCCACACAGCCAGAGCGAGCTCAGCAGAGCTGAGACAGAGGTGTTCTCAGCAAGAAAGATTCCTGTTGCCAGAACTGTATCTCTGGCTTCTCACACAGAGTGGATATGACCAAAGCAGACATAGTGAGACTG